CTTTATATATAGAGAGAGACATATATATATATATATATATATATATATATATGAACTTTTTCTTTCTTTCTAATTCCTCATAAAGAGCAAAAATATGGGTTCGAAACCTACTCCTCCCTCCTCTCTTGTCTTTTTGTAGGAGCAGAAAACATTGGTTAAATATGCATTTATAATCATGTATATGCTTAGCGATTTTCCTATAGAAATCATATCCACGTAAAATAGGCGCAAAAAATGATTCAAAGATAACAACATAACATGTGTAAATGGAATAAAACTACCTCTATAGATGATAATTTCTTGATACTGAAATCAAATGCTTTGAGATTCAACGACCTGGACACCAAATCATCGCATGTTCCTGAACTGAAAATGCAAGATCTAATATTCTCCCAGTCGTCATGATTGCGGATTTTTTCTCTGAACCACATTGGTGTCGCCACCAATCTCCTGCTTTCCATCTTGTTAGCTCCCACAAGTGCAAGTCCCATTGTGAACATCACGATCAACGGCACCATAACGATGAAAAAACCTGGCACTGGAAACCGTGATCTCAAGAACACGACAATGCTGCTAATCAAGGAAACAAATATCAATCCAATGCCAATGCCCATCTGTAATCTCGGTAGCCTCAAGAGCTGCTCACAGTCGTAATCTCTCATGTAAAGCAACCAAATAGCTAAGGCAATGATCAAAACAGAAAGCACAAAAGTGAATATTGATAATAAGCCTACATATTTTCTTACTTGAGTTCCTTTATCAGACTTTGTATTTTCTACAATTCTTTTATTAGTTTTGGTAGTTTCTTTTGTTGTTTTCACTGCAAGTGCTTCTGTAGGGTTAGAATTTTCTGCCATATTTGAGATGAGCTGATCACATAAAATCAACAAGTGGTGATGGGTTTTATTATTGTCAGGTGTTTACCAAGTCAAGTTCGTTTATGAAGTGATACTGTTCATAAGTGTGAGGGAAAAGAGATCCTAATAAAAAGTAACGAGTCAGCGTTGTTTAAGGGATACATGAATTTAGCTTCTTTTTTTTATATATATATTATTAAACCCAGCTGGCTTATGATGTGAGTTATATATTATATGAGTTAATTCAAATTTGTTCTGTTTAGTTTAATTTAAAATAATGTTATGATTTTTTTAAAAAAATATTAAAATATTTTGAATATTTTTTTAAAAATAATCAAATTTAACTGGATTAATTGAGTTATATTACATCAATTTTTATTAAATTTAATTTTAAACTTCATAAAAATCACATGTTTGACTTAATGGTGAATTTAGGTTTAATAATATTTTTTTATTAAATATCTATTATAGTCATTGAGAAGAGATTTTGGTACTCAATAATAATAATAATATGATTCTTTAATGTTTTTTTTCTTTTCACATGAAAACAAGAAAATTAAATTATTTAAAATGGGTCAAACATATATAAGATTGTTATGTATCATTGAATCAAAAAACTAGACCACTTGTTAGGTAGGTTAATAGTAGGTTTTAAAAAAATAATTTTAAAAAATATTTTTAATTGTGTTTGGTTTGATAAAATATATGTTTGATTGAAATTATAGTTGAATTTGATATTAAATAAAAAAAATAGTTCGAGAGTGTTTGGTTAAAATTATGTCTGGAAATAATTTTAAAAATAAAATGATTAATATTAATTTTATAGTTTTTAAAGTAAAATATTATAAATTAAATTATTAATGTTATCTTTGGCTATCTATTGTGTTTGGATAGAATTTTTCATCTAGCCTAATAGCTAAAAGGAAGAGGTTTTAAAGGGAGAATGAGCTAAATTATGGGTTTAAAGGAGGGTTTTAGAGAAATAAATGTATTATTGTAGAGCGTGTGAAGAGGAGGGAGTTATGAAGAAGGGAATTTGGCAATTAATTGGTGAATTTTTCAACAGAGATATGATTTTCAAACCAAAAAAAGAGATAAATGAGTGTTTCAAATGGATTTGATGAGAAGAATTTTAAGAGATGTGTGTAGGACTATAAATAGATATGTGGTAGAAAAAAAGGGTTATTAAGGAAGGTTTTTTGTTTTGTAATGGTTATTAGAGGTAAGAAAAAAATTGAAAAATAAAAAAAATCAGAAAAAAAATAACTAAAAAACTGAATGATAAAAAAATTAATTAAATAGATTAAAATTTAAAAAAAATTTATTTGTTCAGTTCAATTTCAGTTTTACATGTCTGAAACTGAAAAAACTGAACCGAAATTAAAAAACCAAATCAAATAAAAAAAATCAAATTGAAAAAAAAACCAAGCCAAACTAAAAAATCAAGCTAAATAAAAAAATTGAGCCAAATTGATTTGAATTGGTTTCAGTTTAGTTTTGATTTTTTAAATTATTTTTTTAATAAAAATCAAATCAAACCTAAAATAATTATTTTTAATAATTATTTCTCTCTCACTGATAATGTGTACTGTTAGTTAAAGGAGAAAAAAATTAAGGTTAGGACTCATGAGAAGCTAGTGTAACATACTTCTCTTGAAATTGAGTTTCTACCTTATTTTTTGATAGGTTTTAGTTTTAAAAATATTAATTAATACTTTAATCAAAAATAATTTTATATGGTTTCTTAAAAAACTAATATATTTTAAAAGTGTTGTTTTATATATCATGATGAGATTTTTTTTATTAAAACATTAAAATTATAAAAAATATTTTTTTAATATTTTTTTAAAATTAAACACATTCTTAAAATGCGCTTAAATATTTTTTTCATAGTAAATATTCTTAAATATTTTTTTTTTCTATGCAGATACGCAAAACCAACTACTAAAGTTTCGTAAGAAAAGCGGAAATGTTAAGTGGTCTCGGTCTGGCCCAATAAACATAACTGTAATTCGGGTTTAATATATATCAAAGCCAACCAAACAGTAGTTCATAACCCGATTCACAGTCCATGCTTTCTTGTACCCAAACATGACTCTCTCAATTTTTTCGTTTCGTTTTGCACATGGGTCCCAATTTTATTGTTAATCGGACGAACCGCAGGAAAAAAAAAAAAATTAATTAGTCAATACTGAGCCCCTCTCCCCATTCGAACTCTTTCGATTGATTTCTCGCTTCTCTGTGTCTGAATTCGATCGCTATTGGCAGCCATGGGAAAAGAGGTATTCTTTAGTCTCTCCTCTATCTTCACTTTTCTGATTTGAAAATAAAGGCAATCGAATTCATTTTCATACAATCAATTCCTCGGATCTGCAAAAGATTTATTATATCTTCTGGCTGTGTTCTATATTTTACGTACTATGTTTTCATGTTTTACAAATAATTAATTATTTAAGTTAGATTGATTCCTCCTAATGCTTACGACATCGTATGCCTGGTTTGTGGGTGATCTATTAAGATTTAGGTTTTTTTTTTTTTTTTTCCTTTTAGAATTAAGAATAAGGAAACAGCGATGAGACATTTTGAAAATTGTGATTGATTTTTATTTTTTATCTGTTGTTTGAGAATGATGTGATGTTTCTTCGGGTAATAATGGCATTGTTTTACTGCGTAGATTGAGCTGAAAACAGCTCCAGCTGATTATCGATTCCCTACGACAAATCAAACCAGACACTGTTTCACCCGCTACATTGAATTTCATAGGTATTGTTCATTAGTCTTTGTCGATTTTATTTCATTTATCTGTCAATTATTTAGTGGTTATCTTTTTCCCCCCCATAAACGTTAATTATTATTGACTGCAGGTGTGTGGCAGCGAAGGGTGATGAAGGTAATGATTGTGAACGTTTTGCTAAATACTACCGTTCCCTTTGCCCCTCTGAGTGGGTGAGTATACTGAGCCTCTTTTTTTTTTTGTCTCAATTAATTTATGATCTGCCAAGGACATTTTTTTTTAATATACTGTAGTTCTCTGTAAAATGTTGGCAAATGATTTTCAATGAAAGTTTGCCAGAAAAAAAAAGCAAATTATTGAATTTAGAATTAATTTTAGTGGTTTCTTATTCACGTGGGATGTCATCTTTGCACTGTAGCATTATCGTGAATGTTATTGCATCATTCATGGTTTGGGAGTCAGGCTAAATGTAAACACGCCTGTCTGATGCTACATGATGTGGTGTGTTTCACGACATTGCCAATTTTGTTTTAAACTGTATTACTTCCATTTGCTATTGGAATACACTGATACCAGTTGTATGAGCTTATTTACAATATTGAGAAATCAGACAAGCTTGCCTTTATGTTAGAAACCTATTTCACCTCTCAAACATCATGCTCTCCACATTTGTCATCTGTGCTGAACAACAAGCCATCTGTATTTGCTGTTCTATATATAAAAGTTTAAGTTTGACAGCTTGTTGGTCAATTTCTCAAGAGTATAATTGGTGATGTAGTGTGGGAAGAGAAATCAACTCAAAACAACAAAGAACAATAAATTGATGGCAAAAACTAGAAAAAAATTGAACTTGGAACTGGAAAAATTGGTTTAGGGTTTGTAGACAACCTTTTAAACATATTATGATCGATAATATACAGAACATGTCTGAAAAATAAGCTAGGCAGCTTTATTTATACTAGTACTAGGTCTAAATCCTAATCCTTATTGGAAAAAGAATCCTTAGAAAGTTACATGACTAATATTTAATCCAAATGGCACCAGGATTTTTAGACTAATAAGAAGAGTAAAATTACCAAGTAAAGCTCCATGTTGATTACGCTTGTTAGTATCTGACTGACGTATTGTGAATCTGAGACTGTAATGAAGATCTTTTTGCATGACCTGTTTTCTTTCATTCCCTGGCTAACATAGACAAATATTTGGGCCTAGATTACACGTAAACAGATTATCTCTGCATTTGGTGCTTTAACATGCCATTACTTAGAATGTGGAAGCATCCAGTCAGTGGTAAGATATAGTTTAGGATTGAATGAAAAGTTTATAAGACAGAATATTTTATGTGCTGACTTAGTCTGTTCTTGATTAATGCTGCAATGCTATGTTCATCACTCTTGTATACATACCTTCTACTATTTTAACTTTGACTCAAATTTTGTATGTCATCTCTCTGCGTTGTCAGTAGTCAGTGAGATGTTGTCTTGGAATATACCATAATTGGTCTATTATATATTTCAGTCTCTTAAATGGAATCTGTCTTGTAGAATATTGTCTTTAGTGCTTGAAGTGGCAGTGATTTGCTTTTAGTGTCAATAAAAAAATTTACCATTGTAATTGACCATTGTTTCTTTCTTTTTCATGTGAATGAATTGCTGCAGGTCGAGAGGTGGAATGAGCAGAGGGAGAATGGAACATTTCCAGGTCCCCTTTGATCTCACATCAGCGAGCTGAACAGTCTTTGCCCGTATTTGTCTTCTCATTTTCTTCTAGCTACATTTGTGGTTGTGCTTTGACTATGAATTAATAAGGCACTGTTTGGAATTCCTTGTCAGTTTGTTGAATTGACATGAATTATTGCGGATATTTGTGCTGGTTTCTAATTTGTTTATTTTCGTTGTACTGTTAATTGTTCTTCACTGTTAGGGGTGCAGTCTTTGATTGCGTTGACAGTGAATGGTTCTGGAATACCTTGATGATTTTTAGAACCTGAAGAATATACATATAATGAGGTCAAAATGGTTCTATCACAGAGTTTGGGGTGGATTTCTCTGGAATCTAGAATAGGATACCAACAAGCCTGAGATGGCTATTTGTCGATTTGGTGGAAAGGACAAGAAGCTAGAACAGCAACCAGTGTGTTTACGATTGCTTAGCAATGCTTCTACCTTGTCACCATTGTAATCGTTAGCCCAAGTTTTTGGTTTTTTTATAGACATTTAGCACAAGTTCAGGAATGAAATTGGCTGAGGTAAAATGCAGCAACTGTATGCTGGAGCCGAGACCGAAAACAGACTTCTCAGGGCAGGGAGGCCCTGCTTTGGCGGTAGTCTAAAACCTTGAGGTTTTGGAACCAGCCAGGGTGCCTCGCTTTTGATTCTTGTGGATGGTTCGATATTAGTTATTATTATTTATTAGAGAGGTGGATTGAAGAATGGGGCCAAGCCATAACTGTGGATTGTATGTTAAAGTTTCAGTGCTGAATCCGTGGTCGGATGTTGACATTTAATTTGGCTACCATTACCGTATGCTCGTAAGAGGTATGTATCTAAGGAATTCGAGCATTACACAAACAAAGAAACAAAAAATTCCTTGGTCAAAGTTGGGGGAGCTGTCCCTTTGTCTGTTCATCATGCCCCAATTAAATAACCTAATATAATTAATACGATGAAAAATGAAAATCGTCGTAGGCGATAAAGTGAAGCAATTTGATTACCAGTCCTCATAGAAGAGAGTCTGCAAACGAAAGTTATCGTCCTTGCTGGTGGATCAGCAACAACCACCATCACCAACCACCTCTACTTTGCTTGCTAGTTGCTTCCATTCCAATTTTGCTTACCTTGACGTGACGGGATAGTAATTTTCTTAATCAGCGCCGCTAATCTATGCATGTCAACTTGTTACCTCAAATTCACTCCAGAGGTTATCGGGAGCTCTGCACAACAATGTAACTACTTTGCTTCTACAGCCATAAAGCTAGAGAAATATGGTGATATTCAAAGCATTAACAGAAAATCAGAATCTTCTTCTCAAAAGGTTGCTCTCACTGACAGATTGACCAAAGCATCAAATGCCATGTGATCATGTTAAGAAGGTTCTTTTGGCTTAATTAAACATCAAGTGATTACTGGGAAAATATTGGGATTTCCCGGGATATGATTTATTATACTGTTAAACTACACTAGCTAGATTGTCATAGTTTGCAGGTACAGAGCATCGGAAACAAGCCATACGAGTACATGGTGTGCGCAACACCACCACGTTGCCTCGTGACAAAATATCACAGAGGGGCGAAAAGGCTTCTTTCATCTAAAATGGATATCATAGAGCGCTGTCTCGCTGACAATGCCATCCACAATGTGCAGGGGCGTAAGATCGAATCGTCTTAATCAATGAGAATAGCATAGAACGTGATTTCCGTAGCTTTCTGGCTCCTTATTGCTTCAATGATCTGTCTCTGTGAGGAGATCATGTGGATTGTGACAATATATAGTGGCAGAGCCTGCAAAACCATCATGGAATGGTTAGCATATAACAAAAATAGATTAGAAGAAAGAACAAAAGGAAGGAAAGGAGAGAGAGAGAGAGAGAGGGGGGATGGATTGAACTTGAGTAATAAACAAGTTCAAGACTCAAGTTCAAGATGCAGGGGCAATATGTTGACTTACCACCTAACGCAGAAGAGGTCACAAAACTAGTTCTTGGTCCAAAATGTCATCTGGTTCGAAAGAGGTATTCTCACATTGGGATCTCCACCCTCCGTATGCCATGACCCTGTGTGCTTCTCTATTTGAAGAAAAAGGCACCACAGTTCCAAAATTTATAAATGTTCTGTTCGAAATATATAAATAAATGAATAAATCTGGTAAAATATATTATACCCTTCAAGCGCAGGGCCATCGTATTTCTGGAGCTAAACGCGGCATTGCAAGTTTCAAGGCAATTCCCTTTGTCTTTTTGGAAAATATTAGTATATGGGTTAGCAGTGCATGTGAAACTTGCACACAACCTCATACATCAGCGTTTCTTTTTATTTGATAAGTACAATCTACAGTCCACGGCTCTACATGTTCTCCGTCAGTCCTCTTTCTTAACCTTATAATTATTTATTTATATTTCTTAGAGTGCAAATTGCTAAAAAATGACTTGGTAAGCACACTACACAAACATTTTAAAAAAAAAACAAGAGGGCCAGATTACTTAGATTCAAAAATCAAATTGTTCAAACTTTATCTCCTTTTCTTGCTCAGATAGCATCTGATAAGTAACGTATATTTTTCAGTGCACCCTACAAAAACATTAAGATAAAGTCTTTCTACTTTTTAATTGCATCAAATGTGGGCATAGAAAACAGATTTAGAGATGTTAAGATTATTAATTTCAAGATATTAATTCCTTTTACAATTCATCTTGTGATATTGTTTCTTATGATTTGTCTTTAATTGATTATTGTCTTCAAATATAGATATAGGAATTTCAAGTGATTCCAATTAAGAATATAAAAGATTTTTAAAGTAATAAACACGAGCATTATCTTGTGTTTTCAAGATTTTGAGACTTAAATATTATTATTTTCAAGATTTTAATTGCTTTTGTTATATTTGTTACAGAGTTAAAACAATATTACTTTATGATATATAAAATTTTTGATAAATTTTTATAAATTTTTTAAGAATTTTTGTTTTATTTATGATGAACATAAACAAAAAATTAGAATTTATAGAAAAAAATAGACAAAAAAAGAAGATTATTTTTATCATTATTAAACTAAGATTTATATATATATATATAAAAAACAACATTTTCTCAAACCAATATATTTTTAAAATTTAAAAACACGTATCTTCGTACCAATATTTCCATAGAAGTCGTCGGTGACAGCATGGACATTGAAGTAAAGCCAGCCAGCCATCCTAGTGTTTTCGTGTCTGCCGTGTAGACATCCCTTTTCTTGTAGAAAAATACTGCCAGCATTTTACCTAATGTCTTTGATGGTTGGATGACTTTAGGAGTGCTGGGAACTGCTTGGTTTTGAAAAAGAAGAAGAAGAAGATAGACAATTTGAATATCTCATTCTCAGCCAAGCTTTCATGTAATATTAAAATTAAATATCAATTATTTAGGTTATGGTTAAATAATAAGAATTTAGCACTAAAATTTTTGTATTTTTATTTGATTTTAGGTTCGAGTTCTTAATTATTTATATGATAGTTATTAAAAATTTACATGATTATTAATTTTATAATCCGTAGAATTAGTTGTAATGTGTATAAACTAATCTAATATCTATATTAATTAAAAAAATAAAATAAAATATTTATATTTTATTGTAGCTTATAAATTAGAATGGCTTCATTTGTGAATTAGATTCAATTTTTCTTTTTTAATAATATTATGTTTAATTTTTATTTTTTTATATTATTTTAATATATTGATATTAGAAATAATTTTTAAAAAATAAAAAAAATCATTAAATAAAAAACAAGAGTTGACCGCTTTTGTCAGTAGACGTGGTTAAATCATACATTGACTGATGTAGGATTTTTGTCATCATAAATAGCAAAAATAATAATAATAATTTGCCTGATTTAGAAGTGGACGCGTGTGGGACATGCCGGTCACCTCTTATTCATAGTTACCACGCCGACAAGCCGCGATGGGTGACACGTGACGGGTGCATGTTGGTAGTATAGCCCACGGGGTCACCAGAAGACTGCTACCTAACGGCTACCTCTGAAACTTTATTTTATTAATTGCTTTTAAAAGGAAGACTTTATGATTTCATTATTGTAATTTGTAAAACATGTAATTGGCTAATAATTAATATGTAATCCTTTCTTATTTTTATTTTGTCTTGAACAACTAATTCTTTCTTTAGTATTTTTTGTACATGGATACATTTTGTGAGCAATATTTTTAATATTTTTCAAAATAATAAAAATCAATTATTTTACATTTATTTCATAGTTAGATTTGCATTGTAATTAACGAAAAATAATTTATTCAAACAAAAAATAAAATAAAATATTATCATTCTTAAAAAAGAATATATATTTTAAATGTAATGAAACAAATTTCAATGATGTATGTATCTTGAAAAACTACAATGTATCTATTTATTTTATTTTATAAAATCATAAATTTATATTGATTATTATAAAATTAGAAATAATTGTGATAGCAATTATTTTGTAAAATATTTTTACTTTGAAATAATTTGAAATAATATATTTTTTATTTTTTAAAATTTATTTTTAACACAAATCCATTAAAACTATCTAAAAACACATAAAAAATAAAATAATTTTTTTTTTGCTAAACCACTTCTCTAACATAAAAAAAATGCAATTAATGAAAAATTACATTAGATTTTTAAAGATATGCACAAGAAGGATTTACACTAATTAATTAATTAAAAAGAAGAGATAAGTTAAAAAGTTTTTGAAACACGTAGTTGTGCTAATTACTAAACCATCACATCCATACACGTTGACCAGTACTGTTTGTATCCGTTGAGGATTGTAAATTGTAATATTAAAAACCAAAATATATAATAATAAGAAACCCTACGTCTTTCAACTAACCACGCGTGACTCAATAAATACGCGTCCTTTAGCGCGTGTGTCGTAACCTCCCACGCTAAATAGAAGAACCTTCCCTGCAACCTCCATCCCCATCTGCCCCCCCATCCTTCATCACTAATCATTATAAATAGCCTTCTCCCCTCGCCATATCATAACCCAACAAACGCTCCTTTCTTTTCTGTCTCATATTCTCCGCAACCAAACAAGAAGAACAACAATGTTTCGTTTAAGCAACAACTTGGTAGGAATCCTGAATTTCATAACCTTCCTGCTCTCAATCCCCATCCTGTGGGCAGGGATATGGTTAAAAAACAAAGGGACATCAGAATGTGATAAGTTCTTCGACACCCCAGTTATTGTCTTGGGTGTCTTTCTCTTGCTAGTCTCTCTAGCTGGCCTAATTGGCGCGTGTTGTCGCGTGTCATGGCTTCTCTGGACTTACCTCCTAGTCATGTTTCTCCTCATCGTCTTGCTCTTCTGCTTCACGATTTTCGCTTTTGTCGTGACCAACAAAGGTGCCGGTCAAGTTTTGTCCGGGAAGGGGTATAAGGAGTATAAGTTGGGAGATTATTCGAATTGGTTGCAGAAGAGAGTGGGCAATGAGAAGAACTGGAGGAAGATTAAGAGTTGTTTGATTGATGCTAAAGTTTGCAGTGATTTTAACCAGAAATTCGTGAATGATACTGTTGACGTCTTGTATACCCGCCATCTGTCTGCTCTTCAGGTATTTTTTTCATCTTTTTTTTTATAGCTTTTGAGTTATTCTTTGACTTTGCGGTTATTTTTTTTTTGTTAGATCCAAGTTTTTGTTGTTAAAAAGAAATAATGTTAAATCTACGATGATAATTTTCAATATTAGTATTTTTCTTTCCTATTCAAGAAACGAGATGTCACTCATGAGTCATGATGGGTTACTGGTAGTCGTTAGATGTCAGTACAATTTTCTGCGTGTAATTGTGGATTAAGAATGTTGTGATTAATAATTTTGATTATATATATATATGGTTATGGTATAAAACATTATTCTTGAGCATGTTCTATGAATGTTGAGATGACTGGTACGTTTCTCGATACACTCGAGTAGATGCTTTCAACAAGCCCCACTCACAGATAGCTAATGAGCTAGCTCTTTTAAAAAGAAACCAGCAATACTGGATGCGATGTTTGGAACAAAAAGACAACCAAAGGTTCCCGAAATGTTCGCAAATGACTTGTCATATGGCCGTACAGAAGAACAAGCAGACATGGACCATTTCCAAAAAAATGATTTATTAGACTCCAAAAATGGAAGAAGAAAAAAAAAGAAGAAAAAGGCTTTGTTTGTGATATAGGAAGAAGGAATTTTTTCAATTTTTTTTCTTTCTTTCATTGTTATTTTAGGATTATTCGCAGTTGCTTCTAGTTTACTATAGCTTTAGAAAGGAAAGCAAGAGCACTTTTAGGTTACCGTATGAAAAATATGATTCTTTTTAGTGAATTAGTTGATTCCTGTCATCATATGGTGTTAAAGCAAGAGCACAACCTTAGATTATATATATATATATATATATATATATATATATATATGGTATAAAACATTATTCTTGAGCATGTTCTATGATTTTGTTGCTTCAATGTTATCATAATGACAAAAAAAAGAAGAAAAAGGCTTTGTTTGTGATATAGGAAAAAGGAATTTTTTCAATTATTTTTCTTTCTTTCATTGTTATTTTAGGATTATTCGCAGTTGCTTCTAGTTTACTATAGCTTTAGAAAGGAAAGCAAGAGCACTTTTAGGTTACCGTATGAAAAATATGATTCTTTTTGGTGAATTAGTTGATTCTTGTCATCATATGGTGTTAAAGCAAGAGCACAACCTTAGATTATATATATATATATGAAAGAAGCATTTGTGCTTTATCTTTTGCAGTATCCTTTGCTGGGATTCTGTGTCTAGTGATCCTTCCTATGTGCTGATATGTGAAATATACCTCATTTTGCGTAGCTCTACCTGTGCTTGTGCTTGAGTTGTGATGAGTTGGGGGAAAGGGCCCTCTTTTACCTTTGATCATTAATAATTTTATCATCTACTAATTGTTTTTGTATGGGGCAGTAGGGTCTCTTTTCCTCGATGGCCTCTCACGGCCTTATGAACTGACTTGTTGCGGTTTTATGTTTGTGTGCGCCGGTGGTTAGTTTAACTTTATATGATGATCTTTTAGTGTAAATGCGGAAGTTCATTTGACAATATGAACTTTTGATTGCCCTGGACAAGAAAATGGAGATTCATTTCTTTAGCCAAAGGGGTTATTATTAACCCTAGATAATTATTTATTTGACATAATTTTTCTGTTGTTCTGCAATTGTTTCTATGAACGTTTGGTAAATAGCTGTTCTATGTAGGTATTGTCGCAGTAGGCTTTCTTCTTCATGTATTTATAGTTCTTCACGTTTGGTAAAATGTAGTTCATAACACTACACTGGGATCTGATGTTTCGTTATTGTTTTTGCAGTCTGGTTGCTGTAAGCCATCAGATAGCTGTGGCTTTATTTATAAATCACCGACTAACTGGGAGAAGACAACTACAAATTCCACCTCCGATCCTGACTGTAATGCATGGGATAATCAAACAGATGTTCTCTGCTTTAACTGCAACTCTTGCAAAGCTGGACTGCTGGACAACCTCAAGAGGGATTGGAAGAAGGTGGCTGTTGTCAACATTATTTTTCTCGTATTCCTCATCATTGTGTACTCCGTCGGATGCTGTGCTTTTAGGAACAACAGAAGGGACAACAATGCTTACTCTTCTGGATGGAAGCACCCTTAACTTGGAGAATTCTTGCAGCTAGCATGGATGCCGATAGCATCGATTAGGATTTTAGTTGTAGGCAGCATACTTATTTGCTGCGCATTCTGATGTTATATATTTTTTTTCTCCACAGTTGGTTTCTTTGTATAGCATTCTTATGCTTTTCTTTTTATTATCTTTGGAACATATTGGTTTTATATGGCCTTGTATGCTCTGCGGAGCTCACATTTTCTATATCTGAGACCTTGTTTGATCATTCTTCTCTGATTTGTTTAATGCATCAGTTGCCGAACCATGCATTGGTTTAATGCGCATGCTGAACTAGCTTTAATACTATTCCTTTAATATATTCATTACCATGGTGTGTTGAGCGGTTGCTGATAAAAATAAGGTCAGGGAAACTGGGTTTCTGCGGTTTCTAGGTGTGGATTCTGTGGTTACAAACTGAACCCTGCTAATTGCTTATGCAGAAGACTGATTTCACTATATTTGTGAGCGGTTGCTGCCATGTTTTGCAGGAGTGGAAACACACCATTAATTGCAGGGGTCCCATTTCTTATTCCAGATACTTAAATGCTGGGTGCGAGGTGTCAAATCAACAAAAAAAATGGTAAATATTTCTCCTCAAGCGTGTTGACTGCAAACGAGAGGACGGGGACTTTCTCTGAAAAGTCTTTCGACGTGAACAGTGAGAAGAAAGGTGTACATGCCAAAATACTGTCTTGTCTCAGAGTTTGGTGAAGATCAAATCATACAAAACAAATTGACATGCACTTTGGAACGTCTTTTTCCAGCACAAGGGACTACATAGATGATTAAAGGTATCCACTTTCCTAATTATTAGGGTTTAAATTTCAAAATAAAATGTGAAAAAAATTCTAATTTTGATAGACTAATTTTATGTATGCTAATTTTAATTATTTTTTTTAGCTGAGGAATTATTTTTTCAAGGTTATCATCGTGTTTTTAAATGAAAATATGTAAAGCATTTTGTCGGGTGCATTGTTGGGGCTTGGCTCACGCACATGAATAAAGAGATTCATTTTATATTCAATAAAAATATTTTTAAAATAAAAAAATAATTCTTTTTATTCATCCTCATCTTTTTCTTGTGTTTATCTATCTCAATAGAATTATTATCAATATTTATTTCTACAATAATATATATATATATATATATATTCTAAATTATTATTGTTAATGATGACTCATGGGGTCCATTTTTCCTTGAATAGTCTTGATGAGAAAACTTTAAATATAATTGAAGAAAATTAAGTGCCACATGAATAAATTTTTTTAAATAACTGAATAGTGTAATTGTTTTATGTTATATTCCTTTATATACCTTTCTAATTGGTTCATCCTACCATTAAAATTCCTCTTTTTTAACAAGTCCCATTCTGCATTCACACTTATAAGTTAAGTCCTATTAGTTTGTTTTTTTTAGAAATTAAATCAATTTCTTTGAAAAAATATTAAAAAAAAAGGCTAGCCATATAGAAGTGGTTACCCAACACGCATTTTTAATGGTGACCACCCCTTATTTTTTTTAAAAAAACAAGTGAATTATATGCCATTATCAAACCTAGTTTTTGACCACCATAAAGGTGGCTTAAAAATCAAGTTAGTATTTTTTTCAACTAAAAACTTAATTCTTTACATATTTATATTTAACAGCACTTTAATAACCTTAAAAAAAAATAATATCTTAGCTAGAAAACACTCAAAATCAATTACAAAACACAAAATCTCTAATATATTATTTTAGGAAATTGAAAAGTCCAAAATCACTTTAATGAAATTTTTCTTTCTGAAAGAAAAACTTTGATATTAAATTTATTTATTTTTGGTATTGAAATTCTATCAACCAACCTTTTTCTCTCATTCGATATTTTTTAATGGCTCTCTCTCTTTATTTTTAAATTTATAAACTTAAAATATAAACAAAATAAAATTTTAAACTAAGTTGTTTAATTGCAAAGCTAAAATAACTAAAAAGAAAACTTGAAAATATCCTAAGAAAAAATTAAGCAAAAAGGCCCTAACACCATTTTATTTTAAAAGGGTCTTATTTTTTCTTTATTTCAATTTCCTTAGATTCTTTTCTTATGAAATCAAGTATCAACCTAACATTGAAATATTTTTTTAGATCAAAATAACTATATAAAAAATATATTAAAATAAATTATGAATCTCAAATCTTAATTAATCCAATATTGAAAGATAAAATTAAAAAAAAACTGATGATAAAGCAAAAATAAAAAGAAAAAGGATTAAAGTTCACACCATAGTTTTTATTTTTTTTTCAATTTTAGTCCCTTTATTTTCAATCTTTTGCAAACAATAAATTGAATTCTTTTTGTCAAATTGAGCACTAATTTGATGTTAGGATATTTTTTTGAGATCTCAATAATAACATAAAAGACAAATTAAAATAAATCATCAACTTCAAATGTATATCAACACAATATCAAAGAATAAAATTGATAATATCATAAAAAATAAATCATCAATTCCACAATTCCAAATACATATCAACATAATATCAAAAAATAAAATTAAAAAGAAGAAAAAATTGATTATTAAAGCAAAACAATAACCGGAAAGAAAAGACAACACATGAAGAAAGATGCCTTTCATCAATTCTTTTTTTTTTTAAATTTTATCCATAGATTTTTTTTTCGTTTTGGCAATGATATTTATTCTCATTTTCTTATCAGTGTCAGTCTGAGTGGTTATGCCAGGAATTTTCTTCTTCATGGAATGATATCTATTCATGTCATCTGTAGAATCTGCTTCTTGCAAATCAACATGGCGGCAAGCAAAATTGTAGCTTTCTAGATTTAGAAAAAAAGTTAATATTACCATTCTATATCCTACACTTTCCTTCACTCAGTATCCTGAATTGATCTTTGATATCATCATTTTTTAAATGCCTAATACACATGTCGACCTGAATGCCTTCAAAGTGAAAATTCAATAATCTTGAGTGGAAATGTTTTTTGTTGAATTGGAAATGCACTAGAAGATTATGTGTTGCAGATTTGCCTCGATGAAAAGGAATGATCCTTGAAAATTATTAGTTTTCTACTTTGCTACATACATTATTATATTGATCCAGAAACTTTGAGAAGTAAAACTTCAATAATTAGGAGGATTTTTATAGTTGAAATGTGATGTCAATCAATATAAACACTGAAGACTTAAAAAATGAACAGAGTTCAATATGGTGTTACCTTTTCGGGTTGGCTATAATATGAGTTCTGAAATCCGTTCTCTCTGTCTTCGATTGCTCGTGTATGTGTCATCTATTTATCAGGGGATTTACTTTGTTCTATATAAAACTCTAATGAGACGGGGAACATCACAATTTCAGAAAGTAACCACAGAAGAGTTGTTCTGAAGATGGAACCTGAGTGAAGCATGGCACTAGGATATTTCGACATGAAATTTGTATCTCCGAAAGGAAAAAAACTAACTTTGAGGATGTCATTCAGATTCATCACACTTTGTCCACATTAGGGAGTTTTTCATATAGAAGTGGCTCTTCCAAATGTTTTTTACAGATGTTATTTCCTGAAGATCCATCCATAGAACCTTGCTGAATATTTGTCCCGTCAGCTTGTGGCACAAAATTTGCCCCTTGTTTGATCTCCTGTTGGTCTGAAGCTTGACCCGATATCACCATATACAAACCAGAAATCACAACAATAGCACCTAACAAGCTGAAGTGAGATAAATATATCACATGACCAACATTATCAGCATTAATTAGCTATTCATACTTTCTTTTTATAACTAACAGAATTCTTCATAAAGAATATAAATTGTCATGAAAACATTCCAAGGAGTTATGTACCTTGATGTGTAGATCATCTCATGTAGAAAGGTAGCAGCTAAGACGGTCCCAATAACGGTGGCAGAGGTTTGAACATTGCTGAGAAGTGTAGTCCCCTTTGTGCCATGCACCAGGTTTGAAGAATAATGATGCTTGCAGAAGCAATTCACTGGTCAAAAAAGGTTTTGGTTACAGCTATTTAAATAGACCATATAAGGACATGTTTATGATTTTGAATTAACAAAATATGTGCACAAGACAAGAGTACTGAGAGAGCATGCTACATTCTATGGAGAGTAAACAAGCATGCTCAAGAATTGAATGCAGTTTCCACGCTTGTGGATCTGGTTTTATGAAGATCGTAATTGCTATTGTTGTAGGGATCCGAAGAAACACATCCCAACAGTAGAGAGTAAGGGATCAGGACACCTAGCTGATATTGGAACCTGTTCTGAATTTCAGCAAACATGTAGACCTAGATATGTGATTTCACTAATATTGATACAGCTGGAAATTTGGAATGAACTCACAGAGCAGATACCTGCATGATCTTCCAGATTACAATTGAACAACTGTTTCCAAAGAGGATTATTGAACCCAACAACCAAGTCTTGCTTCCAGAACAGT